GTGTAAATATCGAATAGCTTCTCTGGTGTGAGAAACTGAAAGCATAAATAAGGACTAATAGATAAAATAGATGATATAAAATAGTAAGAAAAGGGGCAAAGGGAAAGGGAAAGTGGGAAGGTTGGGGAAAGGAAAGAAGGGAATGGAATTAACATGAGAAAATTAAAAAAATGGAAACTAGTTCTCTTCAAATAGGGAGGTGTGGAGAGGTTGAAGGGAGGGCAGGGGAATGGGAAATAAAATAGGAGCCAATGTAAAGTATGTAAATGTTCAAATTCCCAATGATGAATGTCATTATATTTTATACCTAAAATGTACTAAAATTAATAACATTAAAATTAATAAAATTAAATTAATAATATTGAAAAATAGCTGCCAAAAGTATTTGTATTCAGATTTCTAAGAGTTCCCAATGATCCTTCCTTTCTGATACTCAGATCTTTATATAATCCCTGTAATATAGAAGAAATAGATTTTGCTATATGTCGGATTTGCTGAGTTTCTGTCTCCTGAAATGAATTCTAAAAAACAAAGGCTGTTAAGTGAAAGAAAGATTTATTGGGGAATAAGAATACTGAATAGGAATATTTCCTAAGAGACAGGAGGGTCTGGGGTGGGTTGCTGCTAGGGTCATCTGTCTGAGAATGTTTATAGGTCAAAGTCATGAGGTGGTTACAATGTGGATCAAACTATAATCAACTGATAAGATTACAAATATAACCACTTAGCTAATATTGATTCAATAAGGAAGGGGGGGAAGTAGCAAGGGCATATGGATGACATCATTAACTTTGGTCAATAATCTATAGTATTATTCTTATCTTTAGTCTTAGCCTTAGTAGTCTTAGTCCTAGTCCCAGTCTTCTTATTGTGTGGGAGAGGATGGCCCACCTCTGTGAGATATGTTCTATTTGTCTGGGTTATCCAAAAGGGTGGTACCAATTACTGTCTAATCTCAAGCTTCTATTCATCCTTTTGGAAAATATATACATCTGGCCATTGTGATTTTTATCTTGATGCCTTGCCTCATTCAGATGCACCTCCAGCCACAGTTCTGATGTGTTCTTATCTTCTTTATTGACTTCCTTGAGAGCTCATACCCTTTCTGACTATATATTCTGCCTATAATCTCTTCCTCTTGAATATGAATTTAGTGTCTTATTCCTTTTTCTTTTTCATTAAGTTTATTGGCACATTTTAGGTATACAGTATGATGACATTCATCATTGGGAATTTGTACCTTTACATGATGTATCTTGATTCTTATTTTTTCCCCATACCCCTGCCCTCCTTTCAACCCCTCCACCCCTCCCTATTTATGAAGACTTTGTTTCCATTTTTCCTTTTCTCATATTTTTTCCTTTCCATTATTTCCTTTCTTCTATCCCTCCCATTTTCCATTCCACAGTATCTATTATACATTTTGATCCTCATTTACACTTTCCATTTCTTACATCAGAGAAACTATTTGGTATTTACACATGTGTGTCCTATTTATTTCACTTAAGAGTATCACCTCATTATGCATCCATTTAGCTATAAATGTCTCTATTTTCTCATTGTTTATGGCTGAATAGTACTCCATAAAAACAAAAATAAAATTAAGTGCTAAAATAACTTAAAACACAACAGATATGAAATGTTTCAAATTTTATTGAAATCTGATATGGAAAATGCCAACTATATAATGAATAAGTTGATTACAAAATTTCATATTAGAAGGAGTAAAACATATGTCTAGTCTTTGTCACTTTTTATTGTTATGCATAGTGGGAACTAAAGTCACCATGATAACAAACTAAGAGTTGAACAGTGTTATACTGGAATGTTCTAAAATTATAGGTTATGTCCTCTTATATGGAAGGAAGAAATATTATTAACCTTATTATAAATATGAGGAATCTGAGACCCAAAATAGGATAGTTGATATCAAATAGAATTTGAATTTAGCCTTTTTGACCCCAGAGTCTGTGCTCTTAGGTACCAGCATAAACTGTAAGTTCAATACTTACTCATAATGTGATTTAGGAAGTTCCCCTGAGATAATTAAAAAGAAGGGTAGAGATTATTAAGAGATTAGAAGTAATTGACTGTGAATGATTATAGATTACATTTTAAGGATGACCATACCAAACTTAGACACTTTTGAGATTGAAAGGAATTTATATTGATAAGTATACAGTGTTTCGAAACAGGATCAAACAAGCTACTGTTTCAGTCATATGGGTTATTTATTTTTCTGTAGTGTCCAGAATGGCTTGTTCAGAAGGCTTCCTAAGGCAGTTTTCAGATAGGAGATAGATGATAACTTCCTATCTTGACTATCCCTGTGAGTGTAAAAATGTATTTATGGGTCAAATTCAATGTTTGCACATTCTCATTGGATAACGACTTATTGTCCTAAACCTACAAAAATATTTCTTTTCCTTATTAGAGTAAAGGCAGTTGAGGAGCTCAGATTTCTATGATGGAACTACCAATATTAAATAATATGACTAAGATTAACATTTTAATAAAACATATCATTTGATTAAGCAATACACTGGCTCTCCATTTCTATCAGCTAGGATAAATTGCTTTAACAGGAAAATTTTGATCATAATTATTTCTTTATATCAATGGTATTCAATGGGGGATTATTTTGTCATCAGAATTTTTTGCAATATCTGGAAATATATTTGATTGTCATTATGAGGGATGTTGATGGTGTCTACTGGATGTGTAAACCCTTTCCCTTGACTATGATTTAGTGACTTGCTTCTAATATATAAAATATGGCAAAAGTAATATCATTTTCATGCTTAGGACATTAAAGATTATGACTTTAAAAGAAAGAATGATGATAAATATTGAAATATTTTATTTAATTTTTATAATAAACATTTAAAATGTATTAATGTACCCAATTTGTATCTTTTTAAAAATTTTAGTTCTTAGGTTGGGCATGGTGTGCATGCCTATAATTCTAGAAATATGGAGGCTGAGGCAGGAAAATTGCCACAAGTTGGAGACTAGTCTAGGTTACATAGTGAATTCAAAGTCAGCCTGCACTCCATAGTGAGACCCTGTCTCAAAAAGGAAACACACTCTTTGTGTTTTTAAAAATTTTGTCTGTGAGATTCCTAATAGATTTCTGTTGTTTATGAACTTAGCCCAATTTGTATTCCAGAACCTTGTATTGACTCACTCTGAAACCTTACACCATCCCTGGAAAATCTCTTCCATTTTTGTTCATTTTATCTGATTTGGATCTCATGCTCATTCCTAGCTATGCCCTTGTTTACATGTTTACCCTACCCAGTTACCCTCCCTCAATGCGTCTGTAAACTCAACTTTTTTTTCAGTTTTTAAGGTCTCACTTCCAATTTTACTTCTTAGCAAATATTTATGTGATCTTCCAAGTTTTGCGTGTTTATATAATACAGTTTTATGGTTTGTCTCAAACAAACAGGTGTTCTGGAAAAGAGCCCAGAGTCATCAGAAGAACTACACTATGGCTGGAGAATACCTTTCATAGCTTTTTTTTTGATGAAGTATCATTTCTAAAGGCTGTTTGGAATGGAGCCATTTATACATCAGTTTTTGATGCTGTGTTCTTTATCTATTTAATTGAGCATGTTTTTCACCACTAAGAATCTGGCCAAGGGAGAAGTCATATTTTAGTTTCTTAAACTCAAACATTTTTTTGCAAGAGGAAATTAAATAAAATTAAGAATAAGGTTTACCCTGGAGTATAATACTCCCTTTATTTTCTTGCTCCTTCTTGTTTTGTGTATTACCTCTGTCTCCTTTTGTCAAGTCACACAGATGACCTAATTAGTTTAGCAACATTTTCTCCCCTCCATCCCCAATCTTGATCCATTCATTCACTGGCCTTAGTCTGAAATGTAAAGAAGAGAAAGTTGCACTCTTTAATCTTTTTGTGTTCAGCTCCTCACTGAACTGTATCCTGTGTCCATCTAGCAGCCTTCTTGCTCAAACCCCCATACATCCTTTATCTACCCTTAAGATCCTCTGGAAATAATATTTGCTTTGGATTTTTTAAACTTTATATTCTAATTAAAATGTTTTCTATTACTAAAATTTGAAAATGTGCATGTAGAGAGATAATAAAATATGATTCTCACATATCTATCACACAGATTCAATGACCAAGATTTCTACTATGCTCAGTTTTTAAAACCTAAATTTATCTCCTTCTCTCCCTCCTTTTCTTCAGATTGAACTGGGGGCTTCTCCTATGCTAAGCAAATGCTCTACAACTGAGCTACATTCCCCAGACTAGTTTATCTTGATATATTGTTCCATTACATACTATGATACCTATAATTTTTATTAAACTTGTATATTAGCCATGTACTTCATTGCTCTATGGTATTCAGCTTCAATATTTAACTGTGTATTATCAAAGATAGTGGTGTGTAAGTGGAGAAATTAAAATTCAATACACTAATAAAACTTCTATGTAGTCACTTTGAACATAGGTTATAATTTGCTAAACAAGCCGTGTGTAGAAATTATTGTGTAATTCTTATTTCTATTATATTGAATTTCCCCATAAAATAAATTTTTATCTCTACATTTTACAAATAAAATGAGATTATATGACTTACTAATAAAATTTCACATAATTACCAGTCAGTATTATTACTTGTGAGCTTCATTTTCTCCCCATGCTACTCCCTTCACATAGTCTGAATTAGTAAATATTTTCTATACATGCTTAGATAATTCTGTCCTTTAACAAGTATGAGAGTGGTAGGAACCTTCCTAGTAGGTAATAATACTGGAATGAAAATTATGATCTATATTTGCCTCTGACTATACCTGACTTTTTAATGAAATAGGAAGGCATTATGATATTAGCTTTAAATGTGGGTAAAAGGTTAATCATTTTCATACCTCTCATGAATAAATCATTTCATTTGTAGAATGTTGTTTACAGTTGAAATTTTCTAATTAATTTTTCCTTGTTTGCTTTTTTTCCCCTCTTCCTTCAGCTTTGGTAAATGTGAAACTCTGGGCCATTGATCGACAATGTTTCCAAACAATAATGATGAGGACAGGACTCATCAAGCATACAGAGTACATGGAATTTTTAAAAAGGTAAGACACTTTCCTTTGTCCTTTTGAGAGCATTTCTTGTCCTTTATTGAATGCAGCAAAGTAGAGAATTTTTTTTGCCTTTATCTCAGTCTTAATAGCACAGCAATTTGTAGAAGGGCAAGACTTTGGAGAGGCCTCATGATATTTCTTATGCCAATATTCAGGATATGTGTTTAAATCAGAACTTAGAAGTTTCATCATGTGTGCCCAGCCATTCAGCATTCTCTCTGGGAAGTGTAGCTCAAAGAAACAAGTGAGAATTTGCTTAAACAAAAAAGGATATTGAGTTCATTCTATCCCTTAATATATTTGCAGCACCTCTTCTAAACAGACCACATTGCAGGGCTGAGCTCTCTCTTGTGAGAGTTCCTGTACAAAGGTCAGATGATTAAAACGGAAAAGTTCCAAGGAGGTGCTGATTATCTTTTAATTCTGAGTTTAATTTCCCAAATTAAAATCATTTTGTATTATGGTTCTGAAGTACTAAAAGCTTTTCTTTCCTTGAATCATAACTCAATGTAGGATAAGGATCAGAATAAAAAGTCAGCTTTTTACTTTTTAGGAATGTACTGATATTCATTGAAATGACTCTCTTTGTCTCTAAGTTTTTTTTTTTTAAATTTATTTTATTGGTACATTTTAGGTATACAACATAATGACATTCATCATTGGGAATTTGCATCTTTACATAATCTCTCTTGGTTCTTATTTTTCCCCCTTCCCCTGCCCTCCCTTCAACCCCTCCATCCCTCTGTATTTATAAAGACTTTGTTTCCATTTTTTCGTTTTCTCATATTAATTCCATTCCCTTCTTTCTTTCCCCTACCCCTCCAATGTCCACTTCCCCTTTGCCCCTTTGCTTCCTATTTCACATTATCTATTATACCTTTTAGTCCTTATTTACACTTTCAGTTTCTCACATTAGAGAAACTATTTGGTATTTACACATGTGTGTCCTGTTTATTTCACTTAAGAGTATCGCTTCAATGTGCATCCACTTAGCTATAAATGTCTCTAATTTTTCATTTTTTTATGGCTGAGTAGTACCCCATTTTATTAAAAAAAACCCCACATTTTCTTTATCCAGTCTCCAGCTGATGGGCATTTGGGCTGCTCCCAAGGTTTAGCTATTACAAATTGTGCTGCTATGAACATGGGTGCACATAAATCACTGTGGTATGATTCTTTTAATTCTTTTGGGAAGATACCCAGCAGGGCAATACCTGGGTGAAATGGGACTTCCAGTCCTAGTTCTTTGAGGTATCTCCATACTGATTTCTACAGTGGTTGCACCAGTCTGCACTCCCACCAGCAGTGGAGCAGGGTTCCTCTGTCCCCACAGCCCACCAGCATTTGTTATTGGTTGATTTCATGATAGCAGCCATTCTTTCTGGCGTGAGGTGGAATCTCAGCATTGTTTTCATTTGCATCTCTCCATTTACCAGTGATGTTGAACACTTTTTCCTATGTTTACTTGCTATTTCTACTTCTTTGTCTGAGAAATGTCTGTTCATTTCAGATGCCCATTTTTGGATTGGGTCTTTAAATTGGGGCGGTCTGATTTTTTTAAGTTCTTTTTAGATTCAAGATAGCAGATCTTTGTCTGAGGAAGAGCAGGTGAAGATATTTTCCCACATTGTGGGTTGTCTCTTCACACTGTTTGTGGTTTGTCTTCTTGTGCAGAAGCTTTTTAATAAGAAGATATCCCACTTGTTGATTGTTTGTGCTAGGTCACAGGCAACTGAATCTTTTCCTACACCAATGTCTTCAAGAGTTCTACCTAATCTCTGTTCCAGCCGGTTCAGCATTTCTGTTTTAATATTTAGATCCTTAATCCATTTCGATTTTAGTTTGGTGCATGGTGAGAGATATAGGTCTAGTTTTAATCTTTGGCAAGTTGAAGCCCAATTTTTCCAGCACCATTTATTAAAGAGG